ACTTCCTCATTTTAATTTCCTCATTTAACTAACTATCTCACTTTTATTTTTTAATAGATGTTAAAACTCTTCATTCTTTACTTCTTGTTTCATGTTAATTATATCATTATCATTATATTATTATACTTAATTTCATTTAGTATCTTCAACAAACAGATCAACTTTTATTGATAATACCTCATGTGATCAAACGCACCTACATTCTGACAAGTAAATAACACTATTACCATCTTTATAATTACCTAATCTTTTATTATAAATGATATTCCAACATCGTAAATAATAATCACTGCCATTTTTGCAATATTGAGTAAGATGTCCTCTAATCATTGGAATATCATAATCAGGCAATAACTGTTGATTCAAAGATTTGACTCATTTTAATTTCGTGGTATATCTGTTGTACAACCTTCAAATATATATGAAACTGGTAAAATAAAAAAATATCAATTATTTTGTTAGTTGTAATGAAAGTGAATAAAAGATAAAAAGAGTAGAATAGAATGAAAGAAATGAAGGAATCAATAAATAAAAAATGTCAAACAATAGATATTTCCACAATTTGATTTTATGATTATTGAGAAGTGATTATTTCAGTGATTTCAATATGTTCTATTTCTACAATAGAGTTCACTTCTAACATATGAGAATTAGAAGTTTCTTCTTCTAATGTACTGTCAGTGTTGAATATTAAACATTAAGTATTTCATGTCTTTAATAATATTTGTTCGTAGTATTTTGTTGAAGTCAATTTGTAATTTTAGTGTTTTTAATCTTCTTACTGTTTCTTTATGTATTAATTTATTGTTAATATTACAGGTATTATTTCTACATAAATTAGTTCTCTACTTTGTATTAACTTCTCTTGTAATTCTTTGTATTTATTTATTTTGTAAATATAATTTAATTCGATGTTTCTATCTTGACATATATCAACATCAATAATATATCATTTTTTATCTTTGATGTTTTGATAATATATATCTGGTCTTCTAACATTAAAAGAATTGTCATTAACTAATAAATCATTATTGTAAGTTATAACCATCATTATATTAATACATTTATGATGTGTATTAAAATCAAATTTCATCAAATTCATTAAAATGGGTAATTAATATATGTTTATATATTTTATTCCATACATAATTATGTTTTGATATTTGATTATTCTTCATTACAGGACATCATAACAAAATGTGGCTAATAGATGGAATTGTGATATAACAATATTTGTAATATTTTAATATATCAATAAGATGTATTTTAGATTTAATATTTCCTGTCATAGTTACTCCTTCTTGCATCTTTACTACTTGGAGGAATGCATTTCTTTTTATATTTAATGACCTCCATGTGGTTACTGATAATTTCTTATTATTAAATATACAATTTATATTTATTATATATTCACTACATTTCTTTCCATTCATTTAAATATTATTTAAATTATTTATTACAAATTCAAATATTTTGTTTATATCATGTTTTATTTCATTTATTTATATTATATTAATTCATTGAAATTAATCTTCTTATAAAATACTCTTTTCATTCTTTTAATTATTCAATTTGGATTCTCTTTTACTGATTCTATCATTTCTAATATTTCTGTATTTGATATTTATATTTTAAATATAATCTACTTTTATGGATGTTTCTACTGTATAGTTAGAGATGGACCAGTGACTTTCTTATTTGTTTATCTATATGCTCAAACTCACCAAGTTTCCATTTAACAATACAGAATCATATCTTAATTTGTATTTGTATATTTTTCGATATCTATAACAAAATAAAATAATAAAAGTTTCATACTAATTTTATAAAATAAGATAAATGAATTTTTCATCTGATTTTTGTATCAAAAAATTAAAATCAAATCAATTAATACATTGTTAATTATTTGAAATACATTAAAAAAAATAAATTAAAATACTTAAATAAAAAAACTCAATCAATTAATTTTTTGGAAGGTATGATGACTGTTGAATTCCAACCTCTTTAAAAGCATTAAATACACTTACTTTAGCGTCTTTCATTTTTTCATCTACAATCTGAATTTTATTTTGATATTCTTGAATATAATTTTTATACACTTCTATTAAACGATTATTCTTTTCAAGGGTTTTTTCTTTAATAAAATTTAGTCGTTGTTCTTTTTGAATTCGTTGATGATTAAGCTCTTCTATTTCTTTATTAAGAAGGGCTAATTGATCTCCTAATTTAGTTGCTTCTTTAAATTCTTTTTCATATTCAGTACGATCAATAGAAGCATATTTTTCTTCAGTACTCTTAATCTCTTCTTCAATTTTATTTCTTTTAGTAATAATTATCTTCCATTTCCTTTCAGTAGTATTAATTTCTTCTTCTATTTCTTTTTCAACTTGTTTTAATTCATCAATCTCTTTTTTTATTTGTTCCGTTGTTGTATTTAAGTTTCTAATTTTTTCTTCATTTGCTCTTTGAATTGTTTTACATTGAGCAATATTTTTTTGAAGAACTTCTAAACTATTTTGTATATTTTCAAGTGTTACTTTGTCCATTAAATTATTTTTATCAATTGGTACTTCTTTTTCAGTCTTTCTAATTAATTCTTTAACTTCTTCAATAACTGTATTAAGTTCTTGTTCTTCTTTTTTTACAGCAATCGTTTCTTCTTTAAGACGTTCATTTAGTCTATTTGCTTCTTTCTTTTGTTCTTTATTTTGAATTTCAAGCATTTCAAGGTCTTTTCCTTCTCCAACTTTACTGTCTAGTTGTTTTTTTTCTTCAAGAATACTTTGTAATTCATTTTTTAAACTTTTTTCTTCACTTTCTCTTTGTTGTAAAATTCCTTTTTTTAATTCTCTTTCATTTATTTGACTAATTCTTTCTTCTTCAAAAATTTTCCTTTGTTTTATAATTTCTTCACATTGCAACTTTAAATTTTCTACGGCATATGGAACATAACTCATCTCTTTTATTTCTTCATTAATTCTTGATAATTTTAATGTTAAATCATCTTTTAATGTTTCTAATTCACTCATTCGTGTATTCACCATTTCTTCTAATTTTTTTGATTTTATTAATTCTGTTTGGTGATTTAGACAACTCTGAAGTGCACATTGTTCACATTCCATTGCAATCATTTCTTCCACAAGTTCATCTTCATCTAATAAATCTTGTTTCATTGCATCAATTCCTTCACAAACAACATCCCCTGCATCTTTTAGCCAGGTTAATGACCCTAACATAAATGACCAACAATGTGGAGCTGAGACATGTGATAATTGATTAGCATTAAAATTATGACCTAACATAGAAAATAATAATGATAACGTTTGTTCTTCTCTTCCCTCATGAACAACAAAGTTAGGAATAATTCTCCGAGCTAATAATTCAACCATAATAATGTATTCCCTACTTGTTGGTAATTCTTCTTTTATTCTTTTTAAATCTCTTAGAGTTACCTTATAATTTTCTGTTTGTGTTTTTGTTAAACAATAATCCTCATAATTAAGTTGTTCTAAAAACGAAACTAATTCATTCCATTTTTGAGTACGATATTCAACATTAATATGCCATGGTCTATTATCAATATGTTTTGGTTGGCTAGTAGACATAAAGTCATGAAGTTGATAAAACTCGTCAGCTTTTCTTGTTTTAATCTTTGTCCTATTTGATAACATGTATAACAATTATCACTTCTAATATTTCTAAGATCAAAAAGAGAAAAAGAAATGAAAAGATAAATTCTTAAAAAATAAAAAATCTCAAAAAAATCTCTTTAAAACCCTTTATCATGAAACGTTGTCTTGAAAATAATGGAAAAAAAAGATTACAAGATGAAAGCGATGAACAAGATGCCTGTGATGATGGTTGTTGTGGTAGAGATTTCCCTGAGTTATCTAATTTTAAAATGATTGGAAAGTTTGATGGAAAAATTAAGTTCTTCAACGGAAACTTTGAGTTTGATGGAAAATTTGATGGAACTGTTGAGTCAAATCAAAATGATGTTTTACCAGAAGGTGAAGAGTTTGGTTCTGAAGAACTTGAATCTGCAAAAAAGAAATTGTTAGGTACTAGTGATGTACTTCAATCTAATTCTAAAGAAGAAGAAGCACTCTCTGTTGCTTCTGATGACGAAAGTGAAGAAGAGGAAAAGCCTAACAAAAAGCATTATGATGCCGCTAAATTACAAAACCCACCAACTGCAGAAGATTGCAAAACACAATAATTTTGATTTTTTTTTTGTTATTTAATTCAATGATATAAGAGTACTTTATTTAACGAACTAAGATAATAAAAAAAGTATATGAAAAATATTTCACATTTTTTTTGTAATACAGATATTTTTTATTGTTTTACATTTATTTTTATTTGAACTTCATATTATTGAATAGATGAACTCAATAATCTGTTATTCTTATTGTTTTATTTTTCATGAAATATGTATTTATTCTTTTAGTAATTGCAACATTATCAAAAGCAAAAGTTTTATCAAACTCTCCTTGTTTTGTTTGTTTTTTTTCTATTGCAAAATATATACTTTTAAAGTTTAAAAATGAAGAAATAAAATTTATGAAAAGAAATTAATAACATAGCCAAATTATCATATTGAAAATTTAAAAAATGTACAGGATAAGAATGGACTTGGTTTGTTATCTCCTGACATGAAAATAGTTCATGACTGTTATCAAGATGTTCCTAATCAAGAAATGAATGTTATGGGTAATTCTTCACATACTAAATGTTATGTTTCTACTAAAATGTTTTTTGAACTTTTTCACAATAAAAAAATTCCACGTTGTGGTCAATGTTTAGAACTTCATAGTGTAAGTCTTAAAACAACTCATTGTATTATTTCTGGTTCATTTGAAATAACTAACCCTATAAATAAATATATCAAATATACAGATAAAACTATTGTTGTTGACCCTGCTTTATTTATGATGTTATCTGGTTTTTATAAAGAAACTGCTACTGATGTTTTACCTGCATCAATTAAATTTGTTGACTGTTTGTATAAAACATATCCAGCTGCTGTATTAACAAAAGTTGATAATAACATAACTGAATTAGTTTTATTTAATACTAATGTGATTGTTGAAAGTTTACTTTTTAAGCAGTCATATTATTACGCTGATACTACAACAACAAAATTTACTTTATCAACTCCAACTAAAAATGGTCAAATTGATACTGATAAAGTATATCAAATAAAATTATTCAACTTTATTGGTACTTCAATTTTTATTAATATTAAATTTATACCTAACATTATATTTATCTCTTCTACTCCATTTCCAATAACTTATAATGAATCAACTTCTTTGTGCTCTTTTAATCCTCAAACAAATATAATTCTTAAAGATGGAAGTATGGGAGATGTTTCTGAAGATATTGCTGATGATGATTTCTTCTCATGGGAAATTGGATATCAACCAACGGGTGACCCATTACCTCATATTCCATTAAAAAAGGATGACCCATCGTTTATTTTTGAGAACGACACCGTTGGTTATTCAATTAAATATCCAGTGCCTATTAGAATTAGTGAACATTATCACTACGTTACTTTAATTACTGAGAGTGATAATCCTATCAATTTAACTTATCCAAAAATTTATTCTTCACATGGATATGATTTAAATAATCTAGAATCATTCTCTTGTGGTAGTTTAGCATTTAAATATAGTATAACTAAACAACCAACAAATAGATACAGATTAGAGTTTCGAATCAATTTAATATTATCAAAATGCCATGGCTTTTGTTTGTTTATTTTCATTTATTATCATTACTAAGAAAGAGTTAATTTATGTTAATAGCTAACTTCTATATCCTTAGGTTTAAAACTATAGTTGGAACAAAAATGACTATTGTAGAAAATTATTGGACCAATAGAAATGCTTTGAATTATACAGTTTGTAATAATTCATTTGAGTGTGAGATTGGAGATGAATGTGATCCAACCGAATCAAATTTAAAGCCTTTGTCAGACCAAGTACCAAAGAATTATACAAAAGGGTGTGCTCCATTTTGTGGAGTTTGTGCATTCGGATATTCATGTAATCAAGCCGCAAAGTGTGTTAAAAATTCGGTCCATAATACAAGGAGTGGATGTTTAAGTATCGTCATTGGTCTTTCTACAATTCTTTTAATGTTAATCTGAATTGTTTGTTTATGTTGTTTTTAGTTGAATAAGTATAATCTCCTAATCACATTATTTAATCTTTTTTTTTTGTTTTTGTTAAGCAGAACTTAAAACTTTTATTCTATAGAACAAACAATTAGTATCCATTTATCTAAATTTTACAACTTCTTATTGTCTTAAAATTTCCTACTTTCTTGTGACAAAAAAGAAATTATACAAAAGTAGGGTTTGGTTGCAAATCATTTTGATTATTGATAGAATCTATATTTGATAATTCAACAGTTTACAATATCTGTAATGTTTAGAGCAGTAACTATTCAATTAGAGCATGCTAATAGTTTATCAACAACTAGAAAGCAATAACATAATTTTGAAAAAAAAAGGAAAAGAGAAATTATATAATTCATAACACCACAACAAACAAAACTTATGTTTATTTCAAATTTATTGAGACACTAAAACTCAAGAAACAAGACTGATTGTTTCAGACAATACTTTAAAAATTTCCAGAAAAATCTGTTTTTAGAGTAATATTTTAAAGAAAAACTATAGAAAAGAAGAAAAATAAAAAGACAAGAAATAATGAGATCTAATTTAGCCAATTATATAAAAGGAACTTATCTATAAAACCCTATATAATGCAACCATCAATTCACGATTACTTCTCAAATGACCAAACAATTGATAAACCTGTGCGTGAGAGAATTGACAAAGATTTTTATGCCTCCCTTCCAAAAAAACCAATTGAAGAACCAGATTGCCAAAAAAAAGATATCTATTGTAATGCTTTTAAAGTTAATTTCTCTTCCATGAATTTAACTAATTATGAAGCTCGTTTTGAGCCAGAAACTGAAAATACCTCATTAAAAAGAGCACTTCTCTATGCCCATTTCCAACGTAGAGTTATTACTGATGGTAGAATGGTTTCAGTTCCAGAAGAAGTTCCAGAAGATAAACGAAACTTCCAAATTAAAGCAAGAAATCAACAAGTTTTTGAAGTTGAACTTGTACCAGCTACTGGATCAAATGACCTTGATATTCAAAAAGCTAATATGTTATTAAAATCAATTATTATTGATGGAAATAAGAAAATGGTATCTTGGAAAAAGAGTTTCTTTGACGTAAGTAAACCAGAAGAATTTACCTCAGATAGAGGGGCTAGACTTGCTGTTCTTCAAGGATTTTCATCTACTACACAAATATTTGATACAGACCCATATCTTGTTATTGATAAATCTTTTAGGTGTTTGAGAACGCAAACCTATTTAGATTCAATTCGTTCAAAAGATCAAGACACAATTAAAAAAGAATTCCAGCCAATGGTTCTTTATAATAGTCAAACTAAAAGATTAGAAAAAATTGATGATATTGATTTTGGAAAAAATCCAAGCTTTAGTTTCACTCGTAAAGATGGAAGTTCTGTTTCTATTGCTGAATATTATAAACAACGTTATCAAATTGAAATTAGAGATATGGATCAACCATTACTTGTACAAAAGAAAATAGAAAAAGATTCAGAAGGAAAAGAAGTCGAAAAACAGCCATGTTATTTTGTTCCAGAACTTATGAGACTTACTGGTATGTCAGATGATATGAGAGCTGATAATCAATTTATGAGAAAATTAGCTGATTTATTTAGTGCTGATCCTCAAAAGAAAATGGATTCACTTAAAAGTATTGTTGATGGTAATATACAAAATATTCCAGACCTTAAACAATGGAAAATTAATGTGGAAAGAGAACCAGCATGTTTCTCATCTTATGTATTACATAATCCACAAATTATTTCAAAGAATAGAAATATTGATGTACCAAGTAATCGAGATTGGAGAACTGATATAAAAAACTTTGTTTTTTATGATTTAAAACCTTTAGATAGATGGACTGCTATTGTACCAAGTCAATGTATGAGTGAATTTAATTCATTTGAACATCAACTTAGTAATTTCTATGATCGTATGAAAATTTCATACAGACAACCTAATGTTATTAATTTAAGTGGAACAAATATTGATCAATATAAACCAGATTTAAAGAATAGTTCTATGGTATTAGCTGTTTCTGTTACTGATAGTATTTATGAACAAATTAAGAAATTCTGTGTCGATGAAAATGTTCCAACACAATGCATTAAACCAAATACTTTAAGAAGACAATCACTTACACCAATTATTCAAATGATAACATTACAAATGCAATCTAAGATGGGAGGAATTCCATGGAAAACTGAAATCGATTCAGGTTTTTCTGATGGTATGACAGTTGGTATTGACGTTATTTCAGCTGGTAAAGATAGAGAAATTGTTGCTATTGTTAGTTCAGTTGATAAAAGTTTTACAGTTTATAAGAAGAGTTCAGTTGTTGAAAAGAAAGGACTTCATACTGCTGGTATTCATATTGGAGAATTTATGAAGAAAGCTCTTGAATCATATACTGAATATAATGGAAGTCATCCAAAGAAAGTTATTATTTATAGAGGATCTGCCAATACTGGTGATTTGAAAAATATTCAACAAGGAGAATTAGTTGAAGTTAAAAAGGCTATTGCTGAGTATGACCAAACTATTCAATTTATTTATATTACTGTGAATAATAAACATGATATGAAATTCTTCTCAAAAGATGGAAATAATTTTATCAATCCATTACCTGGAACTGTTATTACTCAAGGAGTTACTAAAACAGATTTGTTCCAATTCTATTTAGTTTCTCATGTTCCAAGAAAGGGATTAGTTAAACCATCAATGTATTTCGTGTTAGAAAATACTATTGAAAATCTTTCACAACTCTCTCTTTATAATCTTACTTATGAACTTGCTCATTTATATTTCAACGGTGCTAACTCTGTTTGTTTCCCAACACCTTTGTATCAAGCTAATAAGTTCTGTAAAATGTTAAATGATTGTGGATATGTTGAAGGTACTAGAAAATCAAGTAGAGGAGGAAATGGTGGTTTCCAAAGAGGAGGAAGAGGCTTCGGTGGAGGAAATGGACGTGGTAGAGGAGCTGAACGTAGAGAAGACAGAAGAAGAGATGATCGTGATAGACATGACTATGACCGTAGAGATGATAGAGATAGAAGAGATTATTATGACAGAAGAGATGATCGTGATAGACGAGACTATTATGACCGTAGGGATGATAGAGATAGACATGAATATGAGTCAAGTCGACGTGACGATAGAGATAGACATGGATATAGTTCGAGTAGAAGAGATGATAGGTATGATTATGAATCAAGTAGAAGGGATGATAGAGACAGACATGGATATAGTTCAAGTAGAAGAGATGATAGAGATAGATATGAAGAATCTAGCAGAAGAGATGATAGAGACAGACATGGATATAGTTCAAGTAGAAGAGATGATAGAGGAGATAGGTATGATGACCGTTCACCAAGACGAGATGATAGAAGTTCAAACAGAAGAGAGGATAGAGATCATCACCACTAATTGATTTAAGTCTAATCAAAGAAGAATATTTTTAAGCTTTTATTCTTTGAAAAAGAAGAAATTTTTTTTTAAAAATTAAAAAAATGAATGAAAAAAAAGAAAAACTTGAAATTCTGAAAAATCATATTATCGAATGGTATTTCAAATACTATTATTTATTGTCTTTACTAATGCATTTGAAATGTGGCAACTCACTGACATTCATTTAGACCCTATGTATACTGTTGGGAGTGATCCATTAAAATTGTGTAGAGAAGGAAAAGGGAATGCAGGTAAATATGGAGATTATTCATGTGATGCAAACATGGCATTATTAAATTCATTGGTTAAATTTATCAAAAGAAATACTGATATAAATGGCAAAGTTATGGTTTATAATGGTGATATTGTTTCACGTGCAATCCCTAAATATAATTTAGATTATGTAAAACAATCAATCGTTAATGCCACTGCTTTATTAAAAAAATTTGAAGGTTTTTTCATTATTCCTATGTTAGGAAATCATGATGTTTATCCTGCTAATCAAATGGCTATTAATTCTCAATGGATATTTCAATTTGCTGCTGATCAATTTGCACCTTTCTTATCACAGAATGCTATTGAATCATTTAGACATGGAGGATATTATACTATGCCATTTCCTGCACATTTAGGTATTAAAGTTCCATTAAATGCTGTAGTTCTTAACACTGTCTTATATTATAATTATAATAAACAAACAATGGACTCTACAGATCCTTTAGGACAATTTGAATGGTTTAAAACAGTAATGGATGGATACAGAAAGACAGGACAAAGAGCTATTGTTAGTATGCATATATGTCCTGGAGTAGCTGAAAGATTTAATTATTCAGACCAATTATATCCACAATATAATGACAGATTAGTTGATTCATTAGCAGAATATAACGATGTTATTCTTGGAGTATTATGTGGACATTTACATACAGACACTTTCAGAATTTTAAGTAAAGGAAACAAGAAGGTTATGGCATTTATTGGACCATCTGTAGATACATGGTTAGGGACATCACCTTCAATAAGAAAATATGATGTCGGAAATGGACTAGGATATATGAAAGAATTTAAAAATTATCATTTCCAATTAAGACCAAAAAAAGATAAATTAAAGCCTAAAACAACTATTAAACAACCAAGTGATGGATTTAATAAATGGAAATTCAATTATGGATCATCATCAGAGTATGGATTAAAAGAATTAAGTCCTAAAGAATTTGAAATTCTTGCAGCAAGAATGGATAAGGACCTTCAATTATTTAATAAATATCATCTTCATTTTAGAGCAGATACACCAGGATTTACTTGCAAAGGAAATTGTAAAAACAATTGTATGTGTGCTGTGAGATATCCAAGACAAAATGAATTTGCAAATTGTGTAGTTTGGAATTAAGTCTTATCAATTCTCTCTTTTGGTTTCAATTGATTGCAATGTTTTTTTTGATTTTAATAATAAATTATAATTTGTGATGCATTTCCAATATTTCTCCAAAGCCAAACATTGCAACACTTAATCCATAACCAATTGTTACTGAACGAAAGAAATGCATATTGGTGTTAATAGAACAAAATAATAACTCCATTAAATATGTAAAAATTGATATTCCTACTAATACCTTCCAACGAGAATCACTTTTTTCAATTTCCCATTCGATTGGTTGACGAACTGAGACATCTTTACAAAGATCAGCAAAAGTCATTTGAGGAGGGCCAATATCAGTACAATCACGAATGATATAAGGACCACCAAATCTAATTTTTTTTGGTGTTTTATGAATAAGAGCATTCTTTATAGAAGGACCAGCAACTCTAATACAGAGTGAAGCAATTAAAAAATGAACAACTGCACTAGAAAAGAAATAAACTAATATTGGTGGAAGGAATTTATAAACGACTAATGACAATATAAAAGTTACAAAAACAATTATATATGAAATTGGTTGAGAGTTTAAAGGAAAGAATTGAATGGAAATTGTAACCTATTCACATGAGTTATTTTAATTTTATTATGTAAAAGATAATGAAATAAATAACAAACATATTCTAAAGATGAACCAATTAATGAATCAACTATTCCATGGAAAAACCAAAAAGCAAATAAAACTAATAATCCGTATTGAAGATCTGGAACAGCGTACATAATATGTGTTGCATTTCTAAAAAAATGAGAGTTAGTATCATCGGATGCACATACTCTCATAAAACATGAAGTTGTTAAAATTGCACCTATTGCTATGTTAAAAGAGCCAATACATAAAGGGCTATGAATAGGATGTATATATGAAAGAAAACAAAGGAATATCCATACAATAAAAGAATAATCCCATGAAAGAGTATGACCATCATTTATTATTAACACTAATTCAGAATAAATAAATATGTGATCAACTATTCCAGTTTCAAATTGATAAAAATATTGTAACAAAGAATATATTGATGATATTATTAAAACTACTACAATTGTTTTCCATGGGATTTGTTTTGTTAAATAAATATGACAAATTGTAGATGATATAATTATTAATGGTAATTGTAATATATGCTCTAAAAGAATAAGAATTAATGATATAAATAACATAATCATTCTATTTTGTTTTGATAATGGTTTTTGTGTTATTGGAATATTAATGTATTCAGCTACATTTACTGCATTTTTTCCATATAAATTATATAATATCCTTTTATGTGGGTCTTCTAATACTGAATAGGCCTCTGCAATAGCATTAAATTCAGTTGAATTTGGATTTCTATCTGGATGGTATTGTTTTGCTAATAAATGATATCTTCTTTTGATTTGTTGCAATGAAGAAGAAGGAGACACACCGAGTATTTTGTAATAGTCATCATTCATTGACTAATTATTAGTTCTATTTTAAATTTATTATAATAATTAAAATATAAAAATGTATATATAACAAAAAAAAATAATACAACAAAAAATGAGTAGCAATACTAAAACAGTTTTGTTAAAAAATATAAGAAGTTACAACCAGTGAAGAACTTAAAAAAAGAAGAAAAAAGAATAAAAATAGGTCAATCATCTCAAAAATCAAAATAGAATGAACGGAGCAAAAAATCAACCAAGTTTGACAAAAGAAAAGAGAGAACAATTTTCTGATGTGTTATATTCAATCTCTCATAGTGAGAAGTATGAAACAGTTTTAAAAGAAGTAATTGAAAATGGAAAAGAAAATGATCTTGAGGCCGTTCTTCAAGAATATGTTGACAAAAGAGAAACAGAAATTCAAACCATTTGCAATGATCAATTCCAAAAATTTATTGGATGTACTGAACAATTAGGAACTGTTAAAGAGAAAATGATTAAAACACAAGAACGATTAGAAAAAACAAGTTCACAAGCAAAAGAGTCAAGTGATATTTTATTTAGTAAAATTAAGTTATTAAGTAATAATAGAGTTTCTACTGTTAACATTATGAAAACGTTAGGATTTGTTGAAAAATTAAAAACTATATTAGAAACAGTTAAAGGAATTGAAGACGATATCAGTAATGGTCATATCTCAAAAGCCTTTATTGTTTATGATCGTTTAAGAAAATTACAAATATTTGAACAAAATGAATATAAAATTATTCAATTAATTAATTTGAGACTTGAAACTATCAAAAGTAGTATTAAAAATAAGGCTATAAAATTATTTGATAGATGGTGTGAAGCTGTTAATGAAGATAATGAAAAAATTGGTATTTCAATACTTAATCATAACAAAGACTTTATTGTTAATAATACTAATTCTAAAGAAGAAGACTATGATGCTTTTGAAAAATCTGAAATTAATTTTGTTTGGTTATATGAAGCCTATTTTATTCATATGTCTTTTCATACTGAACAAGATTTTATTAACCAATATAAAGATTTACAAGAACAACGATATACAGCAATTCAAACTTGTCCAAATCAATCACTTCAACAAATGTTAAGTAAAATGTTAGGATTTTTCGTGATTGAACATCAAGTTCAACAAACAACTGAAAACATTGTTAAATCTGAAGATTTACAAAAAATTTGGGGAGATGCTGCTCAAAAACTCAAAGTATTCTCTTCTGGTTATCTCAATCTTAAACAAGGATTAGATGTATTCCTTAAAACTAAAGATCAAATGACATATTTTATTAAAGCTGTTAAAGTTTATGATTATGATGCTTCTCCTTTAGTTGGTGCATTACAAAGTATTTTTGCTAAATATGCAATCAAAATTGGTGAACAATATTACGAAAAATTAAAGGATGAAATTAAACCAGAATTATTCCAAGCTACTGCCCCTACTACAGAATTACAAAAACAGTTTATGACTCTTATTGAAACTACCTCAAATCCAAATATGAAAAGTATTACATTACCAACAATATATTCAAGAGCTTTCTATCTTTGTTTAGAAAAGGTAGTACCATTCATTGAGGAACTTGAAAGATATGAAATGGAATTAGATATAGCATTAGAACCAATATGTGCTTCAGTACAAGAGTATCTTTATGAACTCTTAAAAATTTATCCTGAATTTTTAAAATCAAATAATAAAGCAACACTACAAATGACATATCAAATTATGGTTGATTTAGAAGGGTTTGAAAAAACAACTCCATTAATTTGTTCATTAATTTCTGATCATTTTGGTAAACGATTTAGTGATTTAACCAAAATTGCAAAAGAGTTTAATATTAAACAAAAGACTGAATCAATTTATAAAGGAGTAAAAGAATGGATTTGTGAAAAATATTTACATACGATACAAGATTTTATGAAAACGTGTGATACAATGTCAACAGTTTCATCAGAAAAATCACATGAATTTATAGATTCTATTATTAACTTTACTAAAAACCAGTTTTCACAATTATCTATTTTATCTCCAGTAGTTGTCTCAGAGATTCAAACTCAAATGTTACAAAAACTAAATGAATCATTAACTAACCTTATATCTAATTGTCAAAAATTCAATTGTAATTTTATTAAACAATTCCAATGTGATATTATTGCAATTGAAAACTTTTGTTTGTCTAATCCTACATTTAAAAGTCAAGTCTATACTTTTGTTTGGTGTAAACAAGTAGCAACATTCTTTAACTCCCCTCATCCTGAAGAGTTCTTAGTTGAAGAAACAAGAAATAAACTTTATAATAAATTATCTGATAAAACAGAATTAACAACATTAATTAATAAATTTGATACAAATAGTCTCCCAAGAAATGACCCTCGAAAGAAAGCATATAGCTCAGTAAAAGGACAACTCTCCAAATTAAAGTTTTAATTAAGAATTAAATTAAAAAATAAATAATTTAAGTTTTTATGTATTTCTTAATAAAACTAAAAAATATTAAAAAAAAACTAAAAAAAAAGAATATTTAATGTTAACGTTGTTGGTCATTGTTTTGTTCTATAAATCAATGGCTTTGCCAAAAATACTTGGTCTTTCTATTCATAATAATTGGGGAAATAAATATCAAAAAATTGTTGAAAGAAGAGATAATTATTTGTCGTTGATAGATGATGACTCACAATACACCTTATCAAATATTGAAAAAACTCCAGCAGGATATTTATTCCAAGGAAAAGATGAGAATATTCGTTCTAAATTTGTTTGTTTTTTTAAATTAATAACACAAATATTTTTTTATTTTTGTTATTAAATAAATATATTAATTTATTTAAACAATAAAACTAACAGTTTAGAGTTTAACAAATGAATTTATTGAATTATTTATTCCACTTCAAATTCAAAGAAGAGTTGGAGAAATTGGAATTGTATTTTCAGAAGAGTCTGTTCGTAATAATGATTTAAAAACAGGTAAAAATGGATTAGAAATTAGTTTAAAAACTAATGATAAAGGAAAAGATCAAGTACTTTTAACTATTTTTAATAATAAAGATGATAGATATAATCAAGTCCATACTTTAACTTGTAAAAGTTTAAAAACTGCACCAAGAAATACTGGGATTTATATTGTTTATAATGGTGAATTAAATACAATTTCTGTTTGTTTAATTAAGTTCTTTTACTTATTACTTTAAATTACTTATAGTAATAGACTGATCTATATCTTGATGGTGATCAAGTTAAATGTTCTAGTGAAAATTTTATCAAAATTCCTAAGAAAATTTTTATTTCATTAATTGGAAAAGGATTTAATGGTTTGGTAAAGGAAATAAATATTGTTAATAAACTTACTAAACAACCTAAACACCAATTAATAACAAAGAAATATACTATTGATGAAATTAAAGGAAAATCTCACAACGAAGTTTTATATGAAATTTATGATGGTATCAAAGGGTTATATATCCCTTTATTAGATGCTTCAAAACAGTCAGTTGATTATGCTCAAACAGTTAATAATTTAAAACATTATGTGAGAGATACATTAATTCCTAAATGTGGTAATGTGTTTGTTTTTTATAGTAGTTTTAGATCATCTTCTCATCCCTTTTTTATTTAATTAAAATAATACACACCTTCACTCGATATTAATTGTTTTAGAGAAGAACCTATCAATATACAAGATGTCCTTAATAAGGTTAATAAAATTAATGTCACTAAAACACAAGACTCTATTAAAGAATTAATCAAATTAGATGCTTTTAATGAACTTAATTTGGTTACAAGAAATCCTACTTCATTTTTGTTCTGGTTTATCACATTAGGAGTTCAAGGCTTCACTGTATTTGTTCTTTATTTCATTATAAAAAAGAAGAAAAGAACACAAGTTAACATGGAATAATTCAATTTTTAAAAACAATCTTAAAATTCATTAATCAAAATTTATAATTCTAATCAAAATCTCAATCTTATTTGAACATTATAATCTCCAGATTACTTTTTTAATAAAAACGGAAAGGTAAAGTGATATATAAAAGATAGTACTGATCAAATAAAATATCAAAGCAAGTTATGGAATATCAACCAAAAGTTATCTTAATTACTGGTGGTGCTGGATTTATTGCATCTCATGTAGTTATTCATTTTGTCAATGAATATCCACAATGTACAATTATTAATGTAGATAAATTAGATTATTGTTCTTCCTTAAAGAATCTTGAAGAAATCCAAGATGCCCCAAATTATAAATTTTATATCGCTGATATTACTGACCATCATACTATGCAAAAGATTTTTGAAATGGAACATGTTGATACTGTTCTTCATTTTGCAGCTCAAACTCATGTAGATAATTCATTTGGAAATTCATTCCAATTTACTCATAATAATATTTATGGTACACACGTTTTATTAGAAATTGCTAAAGCTAATCATATTAAAAGATTTATCCATGTATCTACTGATGAAGTTTATGGTCAAGTTATTGGAAATGCTGCAACTGAAAACTCTTTATTAAACCCAACTAATCCATACTCAGCAACAAAAGCTGGTGCTGAATTTATTGCTCGTGCATTTTATCAATCGTTTGGACTTCCATTAATCATTACAAGAGGAAATAACGTATTTGGACCTCATCAATTTCCAGAGAAATTAATTCCTAAATTTATTACCCTTCTTGATAGAGGACAAAATTGTCCACTTCATGGTTGTGGTGAAGAAAAAAGAAGTTTCATTTATGTCCAAGATGTTGTTAATGCCTTTGATTTAATCTTAAGAAAAGGAATTATTGGACAAATATATAACATTGGAACTACAAGGGAGATTTCTAACAATGAAGTTGCACATACCCTTCTTGATATTTTCCAAGTACCAAAAGAAGAACAAGATTCAAGAATATATCATGTTAAGAATAGATGTTTTAATGATCAAAGATATTCCCTTGATGTTAGTAAATTAGAGAAATTAGGATGGAGAGCTACTACGTCATTTGAAGAAGGACTTAAGAAAACTGTTGAATGGTATTTAGAACATAGAAACAATTGGGAAAGAACAGATGAAGCTCTTGTTCCACATCCAAGATTTGGACAAAAGGAAATGTGAGTTGTGACTTTTGGTTACTTACAAAAATAATTTATTTTTTTAATAACATTGTTTTTGATTTTAATATGAAAATCAATTAAAAGCACCATTTGGAATACTAAAAAGATTGTATGGAGAAACAATGATTGGATCATCTACCACTTCACAATAGTGTTGGAGAATAATATCGAATCGATTCAAATAATGTGTAGAGAATAAAAAGTGAGGCATTCTTGAGAAAATTTCTGGGGTTGTAATTAATCCCCCAAGTTGCTTATATGAATATTTTGGCCAATTAACTTTTAATTTATATGTAGACCCATGAATTTGATTTTGTTCTCTTTCTGCTTTTGACATGTATGTTTGAAGAATACAGAAATTAGGTGTTTCTTCAATAGCACTATTAATAAATTCATACAAATTATTTGCAAAAGCTGAATCTAATTTTATTCCAATTGGTGCAATAAAAATTAAATCCACATTTTTACGAAGTGTTTTAGAAAATGTGTAGTAGTCTTGAACAAATGTAACATCTTCTTGGTATTGGTTAAAAGGATATTGCTCTTTAGTTTCGGTTCTATACTCAAACCCAAAAAGAGAAATGTAATATCCCATATTTGGCCAATACTTTGTTTCTGAACGAGCAGAAAGTGGAAGTGGAATAAATTGGATATTACTATGAGTTGGCAACTCTGGTAATTTAGAACCAGGAATAGGCACAACTCCAATTTTAAATTTTCTTTGAATAGAGGGTTTGGGGATAGGATAAATTTTTGGTCTTAATAAAATTTCTTCATCAGTTAATTTAATAGGTTCTATATTTTCATTTACGTCATTGTCTTTATAAGGTTTGTTAATTTGAGGAATAATGTTTGATGGACTTACGTCTAAGGAAACTTTGGGAGTATAGATAAGTACCTGTAATAAAAACAGGGTGATAATAAAACTAAAAATTAAAATTACAATTGTTATAACTCTCATGAACAAACCAATTTATTAAAAAGTTATAAAACTAAGTTTAAAATAATCTTAAAAAAAAATTAATTATTTGAGTTCAGGATGTTTATCAATAATTTCATCAGCAGTTTCAGAAATAGTTGAAAGTAACTTTTCAATTTTTCCTTCCCATTCATCAATTTCATGGTGACCTTCAAAATAAACAATTCCTTCAACTTGATCAATAGATGCTTTTAATTTATTTGCCCAAACTTCATGAATAACTAATTTTTCTGCTTCTTCATCTTTCATATTGAGATGTTTTGCAAGTTCACTTATTAAAATAGTATTATAAATATTTGAAAGTTCTACAAGTTTGCTTTGTGCTGAACTCATCGAAATAGTAATTCAGAGATGCAGATAGTTTGAGGTATAATTTCTTTTTTTTTATTATGTTATATATAACATGAACAAAAAGAATTTAATTCAATTAAAGTTTTTCAACGATTTTTTTCACTGAATGTTTGGGTAATAAAGTATTATCTTTCATTAATGAATCAACTATTTCAGCTTTTTGAGTACTATTTAATGATTGTATATCTTTAGGACACTTTTTAAGAATTTCTTTATCTACTTTATTAATCCATTTTGGTTGATTCTTTTTATAATTATTAAGGAATGATTCACATGGAGCAACAGCACTTTCTTCAACAACAACTTTATGGTACTTACATTTACGATACTTTTTTAATACCATACTTAAGGTAGCTTGATTTTCAGCTTCTACAATAACTTTTAAGTTTTTAAATTTTTCGTTAAGAACTCTCATGTCAATGTCTGAACTTAATTTATCTGTTACTGTTTTGTTTTGTGTTGGTTTTGGTGCATTACATGGTTTTTCATTTAATATAGCTTCAGCCATCATTCTTTTTACCTCACTTTTTGCTTCAGAATAAATACCTTCTGCATTTGTCATACTAATAATTAAAAGAAGTACAGTAATCATTTTCATTGATAAAAATAATATAATTTTTAAGTTCTTTTTTATTTTTTTCTAAAATCATACAAAAACTTTTCTCATTTTTATCTTTTATAATCATATACCACATATCTAAAATGATTCATATTGGAATATTACAGTTGTCTTATGCCCATTCTCAAATTAATTCAAAAATAATGGTTGAAAAAGTAACTTAATTGTCAATAATATTAATGTAAATAGTCAAAACTTGAAAAAAGATTATGAAGATCTTATTTGAGAAAAAAACAATTATTATTTCTTTTTAAAAATAAGGTTCTGTCAGAAGATGAAATAGAAAGTGGCTAACAAGAGTCATAAAATCAATTTTTAATCAAAACAATTAACCAATAACAAAACCTCTCTTAAATCTTCAGATATAATTAATACCTTACTACTAACTAGGTTCTGACTCCAAAGATAAAATGAAAATTATTAAATACATTTGCATAACTTTTATTACTAATAGAAGTAGTTTATCAAACTGTTTGTGTGGTCCTTATATAACTAAAAACTTAAGCAATACGTAAATTAAAATTAATAAATTGAGTATTAAGATAAAGTAGTTAATAATAAAATTCTCATCAAGCAAGATTTATAATTTTTTTGAAAGAAATGAAAAATAATCACATTATAATTTTGTTATATATATCATTATTTAACAATAATACCAAAAATATTCAGTGATAAAACAAAATAAATTAAAAAACGGAACGAATAACACAAAAAAAAAATTTAAATTTGAATTGTAAAATATACAACAACCATATAAAATAAATGTACTTCAACTAAAACATAGTTGAAGTAAAAATTTCATTAGTTCCATTATTTGTAAATTGGTAGAATTTTCCTCTTTTTCTTCTACAATGAGAAGCAAGTTCATCTTCATCATTTTGAATGATAAGCTCAATATACCCATCGTTTTTACCAATAAATTGTTGAGATGAAGACATTTTTTGGCAACTTTCACTTCTTAATAAATCAGGTTTTACTTGTAAATTACAATGAGGAGAATTAGGAGTACTAGATGAAGCAATAAGGGAAGGTTGTAAAGTATTATTTATATTATCTTGTAATTTTAAAGAAAATAATGGAGAAATATTTCCTTTTAATGCCCTTCTCTTATGTTTTACAGGTGTTGTAATAAATTGTAAATTTGAATGAGATTCTGAACGTAATACTGAAGAAGGAAGTAATGAAGGAGTACAACAAATTGAAGAAGAGAGTGAAGAAGAAGGAGCCAAATCACTATCAGAAGTAGTATGTTGTAAAGAAGTAATAACATTTTTTAAATGAATTTTTTGTTTATCATTAATTTGTAAAGAATTAATATCATCATCTCCCATTAAAGTAATAATATCTAAAGAGAAATATCCATTATTTAATAATATAGTTGATAATTCGTAGTCACAAACAATTTCATTTATTAATTCAAAAGGGTCTTTATAAATTGAAGGTTTTTCTAATATTAATTCTTCTTCATTCATTTTCTTTCCCATATCAGGTATTTCAATTGAAATTATATCTACAATACTTTTAAGAACTTTATCAGTTTCTTCTTCTAATAAATTAAGTTCAGTTGTGTTAAAGAAAATTTCTTTACAATGGTGAAATTTTTTAGCAAGTTTTTTTGCTTTACCACGTATTTGAACAATATTTGAAGAAAGAACACAACCGTCATATTTAGTTGAATGAAACTTACTTGTTTGAAGTTCACAAGGATTCTATAAATAATTAATAAATTTTCTTTTATTATTTAGTTAATATTCAAACCATTAATATAACTCCTGAAATTGATAATTTCTGCTTTCTACAACTCTCTACTAATAACATCACAGGAAAACATCCTTCACAATTTCCAATTAAATAAATTTGATTGGTTTTTATTGTTCTCAAAATGTATTGATATAAATCAAGAAGAGAACATAATAAAACTTCTTTTGAATATGTACTTCCTTCATAAAATCCACAATACTCAAAACAAAGAACTTGCATTTTAGTTATTTCAGCAATTAAATGTATTGATTCTATTGATTGTTCAAATGTTTCTTTAATAGAATGACAATAGATAATCGCTGAATCTTCATTAAATTCTCCATGTGGTTGAGTAATGACATATGGTGTATTATAATAACCTAATCTTTTTGTCTCTTTTGGTAGATAACCATAATCATTGTTGGTCATAAGTAAATGTGAAACCTTTGAGAACATAACTAAAACTATTAATCTAGTTGTGAGATGACAAAAAATTTTTGATACACTAGTACCTTCTTGTAAGAACCTTTTTACATAAATCCAAATTTATGTCATTTTAAAAGAGTCTTTTTGTTCGTTAAATGTTTCATATTTCCTCTTTGGGTTGATGAATCCACGTATTTATTTTTTTGTTTTAAATCAAAAAAAGTCACATTACTTTGAATTATTTATTGGTACTGATTAGTTGAGTTTGACTCAATAAATTACTTTTATAAGAAGAGTTTGTTTAAAATTAGAAATAAAAATATATTTAATTATTTATCTGGTAAAAACGTCATTTTAAGATTTAATCTAAATAAAGAAAAAGTCAAAAGACCAAAAGAAAAAAGATAAATAGTATTATCTTTTTTTGTTAGTGTAAAAAAAGTTAGTTAATTTTGTTATTAATAAATGCCTTTTTTCAGAACATCATCTACATTAATAGAACAAAAAACATTAATAAAAAAAGAATGAATTTTGTTTTTAATATAAAAACAATAAGAATAAATTGTTATTAAGAAAAGAAAAATGATACAAATCAAAAAGAACACAAGTAATTTAAAGTTTTGGTATTACCAAAGGAATTCTCTTTCCACCAAGAGTTGCACTTCTTGTTGCTGCTTGAATTAATATACTAGTATTAACACAACTTAATACATCTCCTGAAGTACCATTATTACGAATAATATTAGCAAAGAATGGAAGTTCTTTTTTAAAATTCTTTTCATGTCTTTTCATAAATGTTTCAGTTAAGTTTTCAGGTTCTTTTCCACATTCAAGAATTTGTGAATTAGAGGTAAGTACAGTTAATGAGTTATCATATACTTTATTGCCATTTCTTGTTGCTATAATAGTTAATACAACATTATTTGGATATTCAAGAGAAGCAGTAGCTGAATCCCAAACACCAGCACCTCCATCAATTCCAACAGCTGTAATATATTTAGGAAGAGTATTATTCATATAATACATAATTAAATTAAAGTCATGACACATTAAATCAGTAAAAATATTTCCTAATGTTTTAAGAAATTCTGGTGGTACAATTGGCCAATCAAAAGAATGAAATTCAGCTCTTTGAATTGAAACATTATTAGAGATAAGATATTCTTTAATTGATTGATATCCTGGATCTCTTCTTCTCATCCAACCACAATGTAAACTAACTCCATTTTTTCTACATGTTTCATAAGCTTCTTTAACTTCTTCTGGAGTTGAGGCAATAGGTTTTTCACAATAAATATGTTTAACTTTTTTTGATGCTAATTTGATTGTTTGAAGATGAAATTTGGTTGGTGTGCTTATCCAAATACCGTCTATTGGTATATTAATCTCTTCTACTGACTTAAATATTTTTATATTTGGTCTATCTAATACAGATTGACATACTCTAAATGGTTCTACAACTCCAACAAGTTCAATATCTTGAGATGCAATGAATAAAGATGCTCTAAACGATCCTAATCTTCCAGTTCCACATAAACAAATTCTAACTTTATTGCCCTGCATCTATCTTTTAATGAACTAAAAGTTCTTTTTATGGTTTAAATGATTTCTTTTATAATGTTTCTACTTCCATTTTCTCTTTAAATAAAAAAAAAATAAAGAAGAAGAAAGATAATGAATTTCCTATATTCTTGGTCTTCTTTTTGCTGTCTTTAACCTTGGGGGTTTTACCCAAAAGGTTTTTTTGTTCATTAATTTAAATTTAGTTTACTAATCATTTCTTAATTTTTGTTTGGAATCTTCTTCATATCATTTTATTGAGATGAACTAGATTTTTTTTTCAATCTTCTTTTCTTTTTTAAAGACTTTTCCCATTCTTTTCCACTTTTATTACGAATTTAAATTACAGCATTTTTTCACTCAATTATCAATATTTTTTGACTGATTTATCTTTTATTTTTTGGAAAGAGGTATTGAGTGATTTTAGTTGTATTTTAAGGTTTTTTTTCATTTCACAAACATTTTTTTAATTTTCCTCCTTTTTCCAATTAATTTTATCTATTTGATTTTATAAATACGTAATTTAAACTCTATTTTTAATTAAATTTCCCTAAGATTTTATAATAGCTTTTTCCAAAAAGAGAAAATAAATCAACAAAATAACTAGAGGCGAACTAAATATTACAATTTATTCAGGAATTTTTTTAAATTATCAATAAAAAAACTTAAAAAAAAACTAAAAAAAGTTTTTAATAACACAAATTGTGAGATGAAGACACATAATAAGTCAATTGTGTATAGTGGAGTTACAACGTATTGTTCTTCATACCATTTCACTGATGACCCAAGAGTTAGTAAAAGAATTCCAGAGACATTAGTTGCTCAAATTGGTAATTTAAGTACTAGAGAAGAAACTTATTTCTTTGTTCAAACACAAACATGTAATATGTTATATCACTTTATACCAATGGAACAAAGTGATATAACATATATTCTTATTTCACCACAAAAAGAGAATGAAACAGAAATGAAATATCTTATTACATTATCACGTAAAATGATTCAAATAAATGGAATGAGTGATGTTAATATGAAAAATATTTCAACTCGTAGAAATACATTAGAAAATTTTTATCAATTATATGACCATACTCCAATGTACTTAAGAGTTCCAACATTAATTCCTACATTTAAAAATATAATTTCTAATTACATTTTACCTAATACTTTTACTGATGGAGTAAAACAATTAGATGGATTTGGTCTTGTTGTTGGTGGATATTTTAGACCTTTTACTTCAATGAAAAATCAACTTTCTATAGAAGAAAATATATGTTTAACAGTATGGTCAAATACATTAGTTAAAACATATTTAGCTGATTCAGAAATTAGAGAGGATGAATATTTAGGAAATGAATTTCAATTTGAAGAAAAAACAGATGGTCTTAAAGCACCACCAGTAAGTGTTGAAGATTGTAACAAACAACTTGTTATTAACCCAGTTGAATTTAAAATAAGTACAAATACTAGTGATTGGATTTTAGCTGTTCAAAAGATAACAAATAATATGTTAGTTATTGGGTTCTTAAAAAAAGGAGAAATATTAATCCAAGATTTTAAAGAAACAGTAAAAAAAATTTATCCAGTGTTAATGATGTTTAGAAGTGAATTAACATTACCCTCAATGTCAATGATACATCCTTTTAATTATAGAACAGCATATCCAGGAATGGTTCATTTTATTGTTATTGATCATTTTAGAAATCAAACATTTTATCCATCATTTGATCCACCTGAATTAGAAATTCAATTAAAGAAATTTATTATTGACTGTAGAGAATCAAATGAATTTAAAATTCTTTATACAAGAAATCAAAAATATATATTTGCTTTTGAAAAAACTTATCGTTCAGATCAAAGAAAAGAAACAAAAATCGAATTTGAAGTATATGCAGTCTTTGTTAAACCAGTTCCTTATTCATTGGTTCATGACTATACTTCATCTGCTTTAAAGAATTATAAAGATATTTATTTAAAGTGATTAAAAATAATTCTAATTTCATCTTTTTAATATTTAATGAGAATCAATTAATTGTTGTTTTTAATTAATTTGCTACAAATGTGTAACGTGTTGGTATTGGTTCGTTTGAACATTTTGTTTGAATAGATTCTAAAAAACCAGATTTAACAGGTTCTTGATCCATATCATCAGTATGAAAATTTGATAATAATTTGTAAATAATTTCATTTGATAATCTTGGAAAAAGAGTATAAATTTCATCTACTGAAATACAATGATGTTGCATAAAAACATTAGCAATATCAGTAATAAGATTCATTTGTTGATATTCTTCTTTAAATATTTTATATTCATCTTCTAAAGATAACATATCCATATATGTCATAAAAAATTTAAATTGAAAGCCCTTACTACAACAAATATTTTCTGGTACTTGAATTAATGTATCTAGTACATAATATGACAAATTATGAAATATTTGTTTATTTATTCTTTTTATCATTTCATTTGAACATCCTTCTTCTATCATCATTTCATTATTATTTTTAATACTTTTCATTATTATCTTTGATGTTATTTGTTCAACTTCTGAATTAGTATATTCTGAAATACTTCTTTTTGAAAATAAACAACTATTTAATAATGGAATAAGATTTTGTGTAATTGCTTCAACATATTGTTTAATTACTTCATTTACATTTATTGGTTCTTGACATTTTTTTAATATGTCAATTATTTCTTTACAACTTCTTTTTGTTTTAAAAAATTCTTCAATTTTTTGTTTTTCAGTTAATGTAACATTTTCTTGTTCTTTATTATTTCCATTAATTTGTAGTTGGACCTCATTATTATTTGCTATTTCTTCTATTTTTAATTCTTTTTTATTTATATCTTCTTTTAATTCTAATTGACTTTGAATTCTTTCTGTATCATTTTCTTGTGACTCTTTATTTTCTTGTATTGGCTCTTTTGGTTCTTGTATAACAATTTGTTCTTCACTATAAATTGGATGTAATTTTATTTCTTCTTTTTTCTCAACAGATTCTGTTACTGGTACTTCTTCTTCTATTTTTTGTTGAATTAATTCCTTACTTTCATCTCTTTCTTTTAATTGTTTTTGGCGTAGTTCTAATTCTTCTTGTTCTTCTTTTTCTCTCATTTTTTGAATTAAAGCATTATGAATTGGATCAACTCCATCAACTCCTGAAGACATACTCATTTCATCATCATCAGTTAATACAAGATTTTCAGTATTTTCTGATTGACCAGTGACAATACCTTCTGTAGAACTTATTTTTATAAATAATCGTGCTTTCTTAACTTTTCCTTTTCCTTTTAAATCAATAACTATATCTCTAGTACTGCCATCTAATCCAGCATGTTGCGCTAAATCAATTACTCCACTGACAATTCTTTTTCCTTCAATACTTTCTACAATAAATTGTAACAATTTTTCTTCATAAAATCCTGTGGTTGATTTCTCAAATAATGTACAATGCAATTTAATCACTGCGTCAGTTCCAGCTAATGCAACTCCTTTCAAAACTTTCATTGAACTGAACTTTCCTTTATTTGTATCTTTTTTCCCTCTTTTCCATTTTAATACAACTTCTTTTCCTTCAAAAACCTCTAACCCTTGAACATATCCTATGTCCAACACATAATCTTGCTTACATTTTTTTTTAAACATGTTGAACGCCATCTTTTTCAAATGATAGTTCAGTTCTCAAGATTAATCCTCAATAACAAAATAAAAAAAAATAATTTGTTTTTTAATATACTATCTTATGATTAAATCCTATCAGTTTCATTTAACAAAACATTATTTGTGTTGTAAATAACAGATTATTCTTGGCTTAGTCTATCTCCTCCATTTACTTTTTTACCATTATTCAATAATTTCGCCATTCGAGTGCCAAATTGAATTGCTGTCTTCTTAAAAGAAGCACAGGCTATCATACCAACAGAACGAGATACCTCTCTAAGAATCCACTTATTTCCTTCATTTTCAGGAAGATCCAATTTAACAAGGAATTCTTCAGGAATATTTCGTATAAAACGGATAAGATCACTATTAAGAAATGGGTAAAAACATATCGCATTACAGTAGTCATTCACACGACTATCTCTTGCTGTATTTCGATTCCACAAACGACAAAAATCCATTTCAAGTTCTTTAGATAATTTATTCCACTTCTTTGCATTTCTATGCCTTCCATATCCACCTAGTTGTTCGTCTGATCCTTGACCACATAACACTCTTCTTACAACCCTCTTTTTCTTTCCAGTATCACAATGCCCTTCTTGCGTTAATGCTAGACTAGTTGCAGTTGCAATAGAAAGATCCATAACAGTATCATTAGGATATATAATTGGAATAAGTTCTTGTGATAAAGTTTGTCCTATTTCTTTTTGGATATCTATTTCAACAAAATGAATCACTTTTGTTGGAAACAATTTTTTAAGGTCTTCTAATACTGCTTTAGCACAAAGCCTATCAGGTGAATCATATGTATTTTCATATAAACATGAAACATTATATAGTTCAACTTCTCTATTTCCACAATGTAAAAGAGTATAATAAGCAATAAGACTACTATCTATTCCACCACTAAAGAGTATTGGTATTGGGTTATTAGTATCGTCAATACACTCTTTTACTGCATTGGATAATAATTCATTTAACTTATTGACTGCAGTTGTTAAGTCATGGATTGGGTGTTCCATTCTTTCACCAAATAAGTGAGCGTAATATTGTTCAATTGTTTTTCCATACTTATTATGTTTTTCTATATGTTTATTCTTATAATCTACTGTGTACCATTCATTTGGTATACTAGTATTTGGACATTGTAAATTACTAATAATAATACTATCTTCTGTTATTTCATATAATAATGAGTATGACGAAAACCTATCAGAACAAAATTCAATTTTGTCTTGGATATTAATAACCATATAACTGGTAAAATCTTGATCAATTTTATCAATATTTTCAAAGGATATAGCAAAGTTCAATGTTGTCAACTGGTGTTGTATGAAATTATACTTATTAGAATAACAAATCTTAATTTCGTTTTCATCAATCATAAAACGTTCTTCTTTGACACTCGAAGTAATTAACTTTTTGATTCGGTTATATTTTTCATATTTTTTTGAATGGTCAATTTGAATAACAAAGCCGTTCATGTAATTGATAAAAAAATTTTTTTAGATAACCCATAAAAAGAGTCATAAAATAAATAACTTTCTTTCTATTTAAAATTAATTAAAAATTTAACCTATAACAAGATGTGTGAGAAATTAAAAACAAAATAACAGCAAATCAATTTAATTATCTTCTTTACCAGCATGGTTGTTCTTTCTCTTTCTTCTTCCATTAATTTCTGGATTGGTTAATGGTGTATTATCAGCTAATTGAATGAGTGGTTCTGATTCAACTCTAACAAGGAAGGATGGAACATCAACAACTTGTTTACCAACTTTAATCATTTTTCCTCTAATAAGAACTCTAGCATGGTGAATGGATTTAGCAAATCCTTTTCTGTAAACGAGAGTTTGAAGTCTTCTTTCAAGAAGATTTTCTTCTTTAAGAGCAAGAACAAATTCCAACTTGTTTTGGTCTCTTGGAAGAATACCAAGGTTATGAAGTCTTCTAAGAAGAGCTGCACCTTCAAGAAGTCTCTTTGGATCTCTAGCATCTTTCATTAACATAACTTTAGCAATAGTTCTCATATGTCCAAGCATATAGTGAACACGTTGAATTTCCTTTTTATTTTTCAATCCAAATTGACCAACAAGTTTAAGTTCAGCATCAAATCTTTCTCTTTCATATGGTACCTTTGGTGTTTTATAAGTGATACTATGATTTCTAAGGCAACGTCCCATGTTGATGCGACTCTTCGATTATGAGATGATCAATTTTTAGGGTTTTATTTTTTCCTTTTTTTAGTTTTTATTTTCTTTTTATGCTTTATACAACGTTTTGACTACTCTTTGTTTTTCTTTTAAAGAGATTTTTGGGATAGATAAATGAACTTTTTGTGACAATTTAAGAGAAGGGAGTGATAATAAAGTAAAATTAGTGGTCTTATGGATGTGTGCTTGAAAGAGAATCGAAGAAAGAATTGTAGAAATACCTTAAATGAAAAAAAAATAGAGCTCCAAAAAAAGGTTTAATGAGTACAACTACCGAAGTAAGTCCATAAGAAAACTGAACTCAAAACTAAAAAGATTCATATATATTTTCATGGCAGAAGAGGCCATTGCGATAGATGTTGAAGATAAGCCAATTAGAATATTGACATATAATATGTATCTTAGACCGATGTTGATATCAGCAGCTGGACATGATCATAAAGATTCGAGATTAAAAGCGTTTTGTAAGGAACGGTTAAAAGATTTTGATATAATTTGTTTTCAAGAAGTCTTCAAGGAATTAAATTGGAGAAGAGAAAAATTATTAAAAAAAGCTAAAAAGGCTGGTTTTAAGTATCGAATTCAAACAGAAAAACCTTTGTTTCCATTATTCCTTTGTGATGCTGGTTTAGTTATTATAAGTAGATTTCCTATTGTAGAGAATCAGTTTAGAATGTATACTCGTGGTATTTATGCTGATGCTGTTGCTTCTAAAGGTGTACTTTATGCAAAAATAGAAGTACAACCAGAGAAATATATTCTTGTTTTTGATACTCATACACAAGCAGATTATACTTTAGACCCAGAAAAGGCTAGACCTTCAAGAGATAGAAGAATGGTTCATATTCGTGAATATGCTGCATTTGTACAAGAAAAAACAACAGGAAATAATTTTCCAGCTATTTGTTGTGGAGACTTTAATGTAAATGGAAGAGCTGGAACTGATGGAACAACAGAAAGTCCAGAATATACAGAATTTCTTCAAAACTTTGTTATTCCTAATGGTGAATTGATAGATTTATTACTTAGAGATAATCATGGTATTCAACCAGTAACTTTTGGTGATTCATTTGTTGACGAAAATGGTACTGAAACACCATGTGATACAGAAATTACATATGAGAGTCAGTGCATGGATAAATCACGATTAGATTATATCTTTCAATTGAAAAGACCAAACGAAGATCCAGTTATTAGTTGTAAGAATTGTCGTGTTGATAAGTTTCCTGTAAGAGGCAAAAAGTATCCTTTTATGTCAGATCATTTTGGTGTAACTTGTGACGTTTATCTTTAATTTATACTTTAAAATGTTTTATTAATTTTTTATTGGCATGGTATTAATTATAAATCTACTTCAGGTAAGACATTTATTTTATCTTAGTTTTAATAACATTTTTTAATAAAATTTGTTCTTTTTCAAGGAAAAGAATTAGAATAAAACTGAAACACTTCAATAAAAAATAATAATTTAATAATATATATATTATAAAAATAGTAAACAACGGCGAAGTGAACTTTTAATTCAGAGGGTGTATGAGTGCATTGAAGATATTAAATCAAAATAGTGAAGCAAGTAGACGTGATCAATCTCTTATGATGAATATGCATGCAGCAAGATCGTTAGAAGCAATATTAAAAACAAACTTAGGACCAAAAGGAACATTGAAGATGTTAGTTAGTGGATCAGGTGGAATTAAATTGACCAAAGATGGAAGGGTATTACTTAACGAAATGGTTTGGTGATTTCTTTTTTTTTAAGTATTGATATATTTACATTATAGCATATTCAACACCCAACTGCCAATCTTATTGCACGTGCTGCTACATCACAAGATGACATTGTTGGAGATGGAACTACATCTACTGTATTGTTATGTGGAGAAATTATGAAACAATGTGAACCATATTTAAGCGAAGGAATTCATCCAAGATTGTTAGTTGAGGGGATTGAATTAGCAAGACAACATTTATTTGATTATTTACCAAAAGTTGTAAAGAAGATTGATTGTAATGACCAATTAGTTCTTGAACACGCAGTAAAAAGTGTTATTGGAACAAAAATTACTATAGACTTTGTAGACCAATTATCAAAAATGATTGTTGATGCAGTAAAACTTATTAAAATTAATAATACTATTGATTTGTTTATGGTAGAAATCCAAAGTATGAAACATAAATTTGCAACAAACACAGAACTTATTAAAGGATTAGTCATGGACCATGGAACTCGACATCCAGGAATGCCTCATGATATAAGAAATGTATTTGTATTAACATGTAATGTATCTATGGAATATGAGAAGAGTGAAGTGAATAGTTCAGTTTGTTATTCTGATGTAACACAACGAACAGAAATGGTAAAGAATGAAAGAAAGTATGCAGATGATCAAGTAGCTAAGATAGTTGATTTAAAGAGAAGATTAGTAGAGAAATATGGAGAAGATGTTGGACTTCTTGTTGTGAATCAAAAAGGAATTGATCAACCAAGTCTTGATAAACTTGCAGCTGCAAAAGTTATGGGATTAAGAAGAGCTAAAAGAAGAAATATGGAAAGATTAACTCTTGCATGTGGAGGAGTTGCATTAAATAGTTTTGAAAATGAAATTCCATTTGAATGTTTAGGACATGCTGGACATGTATATGAGACAGTTATTGGAGAAGAGAAATATACATTTGTAGAAGAATGTGAACATCCAAAGTCATGTACTATTCTTATTCGAGGGTCTGATGAACAAGAAATTGAACAAATTAAGGATACAATTAGAGATGGATTAAGGGCATGTAAAAATGCTATGGAAGATGGAGGAATAGTTTTAGGAGCAGGGGCATTTGAGTTACAATGTTGGAAAGAATTAAAAGAATTTGCTAAAAATGTTAAAGGAAAAGCAAAATTAGGAGTTGAAGTAATGGGAAATGCAATGTTAATTATACCAAAAACTTTAATAGAAAATAGTGGGTATGATGTTATTGAACGATTATATGAATTAGAAGATAATATTTTAGAAGGAAAAATTGGAGGAGTTGATATTGAAACAGGAGCATTTAAAGAAATAGATGATGTTTGGGATGGAATTAGAGTTAAGAAACAAATGATTCAATTAGCAAGTGTGCTTGCATCTCAATTAATGTTAATTGATGTTGTAATGAGATGTGGATCAGCTAAGAATCGACCTGCAGGAGCTGATGCTGGACAATTTAATTAAAAACAAAGGAATTGATTTAATTTTTCCAATAATATAAAGAAGTTTTAAAAAATAAAAAAATGTATCTACACATAAAAAGAAGAACTTATAATTTGTTATTGTTTAATAAGAATTAATGTTAAGTACTGAAGAACTTATAAACGAAAATGATTCTCAAAAAAATCTTATTGACTATTCTGAAAATCAAAGAGGTGATAATGATCAGGAAGAAGGAACAAAAACAATGACCGTATGGTCAATACTCATTCTAATAAATATTATTGTTTTTCTTCTTTCTTTACATTCATCAGTATTTTTTGAAACCCCATTGAAAACCATAGCAACTGAAGTAAGAAATAATGTTAGTAAAGCTCAGACATTTATAATGAATCAACCTATTGAAAATGAACCGACATTATATCAATGGAACAAAGTAGTAGCAGCTACTATTAATGATTATTTTTTGACACACTCTCAAATGTTGAGAGAGAGTCATTCTCTTGGAAAAGCATTATTAAACACTTTCAAAACCTTTGACAATTTTATAGAACAAGTCTCTCATGGAAACCAAACATTTATAGTTGATGACATTGTCATATCAATTGTTAATTTAAAGAAATTATCAACATACAATAAATTTAGAGATGCTTTGTTAGAAACACATGTTGGTGTTATAAAACAAGGACTGTTCACAGCTAAACGAGGACAAGAATTTATTCTTCAATCAACTAATGATGGACTCTTCCATCCAGGGCCATTTGTTCAAATTAAACCAAAAAACACAACAAAGGTTAATTATTTTGATCCTGTGTTTTATGAAGCAGTTGGATATGACAATAATTTTATTACTCAATTAGATGCCCCTTCTAGAAAAGCATCAACTTCTGGGGTTGATGAATCAGATAATACTAATGGGTCAGGATTTTTCACTCAAGGAGCATTCTATGTTCGAAGTCCTTTTGGTAATAAAACATGGCAAAGCCTTGATTCGTTGTCTATGAAAAGTGTTATTCCTGCTATATCAAGTAAATCAATAAGAACGTGGATTGCTTGTAATGACAGTAATTTAATTCAATGTACTAATTTAAAATGTAGAAAAGACAGTGGGCTAAATGGTCAAAGTCGTCATAACATTCCCTGTGATAAGCAGCCCTTTGGGTTAGTTGGTAGTAAAACATTAGGTGGATATCCAATGATTAGTTTAGACCAATTAACATGGTATTATTATGTTCAAGGAGATGATACTCCTTACCTTGTCAATGGGTCTATTGCTGAAGAATTATTAGAACCATATGAAAACACATTTGTCAATTATCAAAATACATCCTCACTTGGATATGGAGCAATTTCGTATGTTGTATTATCTGAAATGGAACGAGTAGTAAATGTTCAAACTGGAGCGGTTTGTTAATAGTATTAATTTTTTTATAATATTAATAAGATAGGGATATTTTACTTTTGATGTTGAAGTATCAAATAAATAATTTTCAATAAGTTCTTTTCATATTTTAATTATCATTTAATAGAAGAAAATGATTCAGTATCTCCAAAAAATCTTTATCTAATTTTTAATAATTAAAAATAATTATTTGTTTAATTTGATAATTGTTTCTATTTTTAATATTTGTTTTTTATTATAAAAATTAATAGTTTTTAATTAATATATTTATAGAAATTATTTACTTTTTTATAATTTTTTGTATAACCATAAAAATAACAATTTGCGTTTTTTAGTTAAAGAATTTGACAGAGAATTATAATAAAGTTCAGAATTTACTTGAAAATAAATACAAAATTTAATTTATTCTACTTTTGAAAAAAAAAAAGAAAAGTCTTTTGTCTTAACTTATTGTGTAAATATGATAATTTCATATAACAATAGGAAACAATTTAAAACGAGAAATAAAGAAGCCTAAGAGATGAGTTGTATTTGAGAAGTTTATTTAAAACAAAGTTAAAAAAAAGAGCAACATAATATAGGAATATTGAGAAATAAAAAAGTAATAAGAGAGTTATTAAATAGAACATTGAAAAAAAAAGAAATATCATAAAAGAGTTCTATTTGGGTCTTATTATTTATTGATAAATGAATTCAAACACTTTTCTTTTGAACTTAAAATAATTTTTTTAGATATTCCAAACTTAAAATATTTATTTATTTAAATGCCTAAAGAAGGATGGCTAGCAAAACAAGGTGGTGGATGGAAAAACTGGAAACATCGTTGGTTTGTATTAGATGGGACCACACTGACATATTATAAAGATCAATTAGTTTGTTATTAAAGACAAAAGAATAAAAAGAGAAAGAGAATTAAAAAAAAATGTAGAGAATGAAAAAGATGGGAGAAATTGATTTATCGTTAGCATTTAGTATAGTTCCAAATGAAGAATTAAAAATAAAAAATTTTCCAAATATATTTTCTATAAGTACACCTTCCAGAGTTTACAATATTTCAGCATCATCTTCAAAAGAAAGAGATGAATGGATTGAAGAATTATTAAATTCAAAAAATAAAATAGAGACAGTAATTGAAAAAGAAAAAGAAGAAGAAAAACCAATTAGTATAGATGATTTTGATATAATTACATTATTAGGAAAAGGAGCATTTGGGAAAGTATTATTAGTAAAATATAAAAGAACAGGAGAAAAGTTTGCATTAAAAATGGTTGAAAAAAAGAAAGTTATTGAAATGGAAGAATTAGAACATACAATGACTGAAAAAAATATCTTACAAAAAGTAAAACATCCATTTTTAGTGAATCTATATTATTCATTTCAATCAGCTACTCATGTTTGTTTTTAAATAAAGTTATAGAAGAAATTATTAATTAATTTAGTTACATTATGTTATTGATTATTGTCCTGGAGGAGAGTTATATTATCGTTTAATTCAAGAAAAATCATTCTGTGAAAGTAGAACACAATTTTATATTAGTCAAGTTATTTTGGCATTAGAATGTCTTCACCAAATGAATGTAATTTATAGAGATGTTAAATTAGAAAATGTATTAATTTGTGAAGATGGATACCTTAGACTTACAGACTTCGGTTTGTCTAAAGAAAACGTTTCTGGAAATGAAACAACAGCTACTTTCTGTGGCACTCCTGAATATCTCTCTCCTGAAGTTGTTTTAGCAGAACCTTATACTAATGTAATTGATTGGTGGGGAGTAGGAATTATGACGTATGAAATGATGCATGGGCAAGCACCATTTATTAGTGATAATATCCAACAACTTTATCAAAAAATTTTATATTCTCCAGTAATTTTCCCAACAACGTCTCCAGTTTCTGCTGTGTGTAAAGATTTTATAACTAAAATGTTAGAAAAGAAAATTTGTGATCGTTTAAGCACTCCAGAGAAGATTAAAACACATCCATGGTGGAATGGATTCGATTGGGATGCTCTTTATCAAAAGAAAATTCCTGCCCCATTTAAACCAGATATGTCACAGGACGGAAAAACAAACTTTGGAGAAGAGTTTATTAATGAAAAATTCGACCTTAATGAAGAAATAAACAATTCCAATTCCAACGGCATAAGACAAGACATTTTTGGAGAATTCACATTTACTCGAGATGAACCAAAATAATTACATTTGTTATATAAAACGTTTATATATTATTTTGAAAGAATAATCCACGTAATCATAATGAAGACGTCGATCTTAAATTACGAAGAAATGACGTTATGATACTCATCATTACGTCAAAGAGACTACACTATAAAAAAAGAACTAATCTAAAGTTATCATATATTAGTTCAGCTAAATAGAAATGCATTCACAAGCACTTTTAAGACCAACACCATTTAATCCATTTATTCAACAACAACGCAATCAAAAAATATTTGTTGATGGAAAAGGAACTGGACATTGGGCACCAGAAATTTGGGAACCACCATGTGAATTGCTTGAAGCAGACCACATTTATTTATTAAAGTTAGAAGTTCCAGGTATTGATAAAAAAACATTAAGTGTTAAATATGCAAATAATTGGGTTGTTATAACAGGAACTAGACAAATTGAAGGTAAAATAGAATTTACAGAATTTCTATATGGTACTTTCAGAAGAGAAATTCCTCTCCCAACTGATGTTGATGGTGAAAAAATTAAGGCTAAGTATCAAGATGGAATACTTGCTGTCGTTATCCCAAAGAAATCTCCAATGGGATGGGTAAAAGTTGATATTAACTAATATTCAATAACAAATTCAGGTATTGTATTTCATATAGTTTTTATTGTTTCCTTTTTATTTTGTTTAAAAATTTGTTTTTTTCTTTTTGTTTTATAATTTAATTCTTCAAAAATTATTTTAAGATCTTTTTTTTTTTTTTGATAATCTTTTTAAGATTTTTGTTTTTCTAAAAATGACAAAAATGAAACACGTCATGCCACGGAGAGGAGATGTATTAAAGGATCTATGAAGAAATGAAAAGATATAGATAGAATGGCAAGACCAAAGGTATTCTTTGATATTACTATTGGAGGTGAAAAAGCTGGTAGAATTGTTATGGAACTCTTTAACGATATTGTCCCAAAGACAGCTGAAAACTTCAGATGCCTTTGTACTGGTGAAAAGGGTAATGGACTTACCTATAAGGGTTGTGGATTCCACAGAGTTATTAAGGACTTCATGATTCAAGGAGGTGATTTCACTAGACATAATGGAACTGGAGGAAAATCAATTTATGGTGCCAAATTTGCTGATGAAGCTTTCACTGTTAAACATACTAAACCAGGAATGTTATCTATGGCTAATGCTGGACCAAATACTAATGGTTCTCAATTCTTTATTACTACTGTCCCATGCCCATGGTTAGATGGTAAACATGTTGTCTTTGGTCAAGTTGTTGAAGGTTATGATGTTGTTAAAATGATCGAAAACAACCCAACTGGTGCTCAAGATAAACCAAAGAAAGCCGTTGTTATTGCTGATTGTGGTCAATTATAAATGATTACAATTTTGTCTTATTTTCATTTTGAAACTTTTTTTGTATTTAAAAGTTATTTTGGTATGAGTAAAAAAAGAATAGGAATTAATTAAAATAAGGGTGAAATTTATGAACATTTTTTCTTTTTAACTTCATAATACTAAAGATATATCAATCAACTGAAGAACTGAAAGTGTTAATTTCTTTAATATTTAACAACACAGAAAAAGAAAACAAACTTTGGTGGATATATTTTTGTTCTGTTGAAGGAAGTAATTTATTAAGAACTCGAAACATACTTCGTGAGTAGTTTAATAATAATTTCCAATCTTTATCTGTTGGACAAGTTTCCATCATATTTAGTGCCTCAAACGTTATATCTCTAGTACACTCAAATAATGTCATTATAGGATGAACATTTACATTGATGTCACAAGGTGATTCTTCAATAGAAATATTACACAATTTACCAATGGTATATAACACACCCATCATTTCTTCTACTGACATTTGTTTGATATTCATTTTCATTTTTGTTACTATTTCAATAGTATTTTTTCCATCTTTAACCATGTCATCTTCTACTTGAACTTCTTCTTCAATTTGGTGTATTAATTTAACATTTTCTCCGTTATACTCATACATAAAAGGAGACGTTTCAATTTCTTTCCATCCCCATCGTTTGTTGACATCATAAACTATTAAATGTTTCATTAGATCAATAATACTTGGTTTTACTTTTAATGATCCAAATGGAGGTAAACGTTTTTCACTAAAGAACAATCTAAAATTATTCTTTGGGAAAATTAATGAACCAGTACACATATAATAAATTACACACCCAATACTCCATAGATCTGACTGGTACGTATAATTACCATTATGAATTTCAGGTGCCATATATGCAGGAGTACCTGCATTAGTTCTTAAAGGGTCAATATAATTATCTCTTTTTGTTAGTCCTAAATCAGATATTTTTACTACTGGATATTTACTAATAAGAGAATGTGCTAAGAGAATGTTTGATGGTTTAATATCTCTATGTGCAAAATGTTTTTCAACATGAAGGTATTTAATTCCATTTAAAATATCATTTGTAAAAGAAAATATTTCTTCATTTGATAATAATGGATTAGCTCCTTGTCTTCTTCTAATATCAATTAATTGTTGTATATCTCCTGAATCACAATATTCCATAACAAGATAACACTGTACATCTACATAATAATCAAAGAAAGCACAAATATTTGGATGATGAAAAAGTTTCATAATTCTAATTTCTTTCATTGCCATTTGTTTTAATAAACTATTGTCAATATCGTTTCTATAAATTTTTTTAATTGCTACGTATTTTTGATTTCTTTTATCCCATGCTTTTACAACACTTCCAAATGACCCTTTTCCTAATTCATTAATAATTTGATAATTTTCTTTACTCCCTTCAACATCTATTTTCTCTTTATTACACTCTTCTACAAATAAAGTATTAAATAATTTTTCCCATGATATTCTTTGTTCTGAATTAAAAACTAACATTTGTGTTAACATTGATTTTAATGAACCGTCAGGTATTTCATTAAATTGAATTGGTTCTTCTTTCTCTAATGAGGTATGAAATTCATTGACATCATCAATTGGATAAATAGGATGTCCAGTAGCCATCCAATATATACAACATCCTAAAGACCATATATCAATTTTGGATGTATATTCTTCTTTATTAACTTCTGGAGCAGAAAATAAAAGAGAAGAAAATGATCCTGAAATTTTAGGGGTAATAGAAATTGCACTACCAAAGTCACATAATTTTACAATAGGAAATGGATATTCTTTTGACCGTTTTAAAAGAAAGTTTGCAAGTTTAAGGTCTCTGTGAAGTATTTTTTTCTCTAATACTAAATATTTGAGAGCACTCATCATATCAGATACAAAAAAATGCATTTCATCAATAGATAATCCATAAGAATTCTTATTGACATAATGTTGTAACGAGTCTTCACACCATTCCATTACAAGGCATTTATATACATTCATTTCATTTTGAGAAATAAACCATTCTTTTAATTCAATAATATTTGGATGTTTTAAATTAAGCATAATACTAATTTCATTATCAATTTTTTCCATAGGGTAATCTGAATCGTCTTTGATTTCTATTTATGTTAAATTAAATAAAAGAATTTATTTATATTTTCTTTATGACTACAAACCTTTAATGGCATAAAACAATTTATCTTTTTTGTACTTTCTTACTACAGAAGTTCCACCATAATTTTCTTCACCTGAAATAAGTAAGTAACCTCTCGTTTGGAATGAGTTCATATCAATTACTCTTTTTTAAGATAATTTTTTTTTTCAAAAACTAAAATTAACAAAAAAAAGAACTTTTTAAATGATAATTATTCATGGATTTTGTTAAACCTTTTATCCCTCAACTTCAAGAATGGACTGGATTAAACTTTAAAGAGATTTTATTTGATTCTAATATTCATGAAATGAATGCACAAACAATTAATTCTAAAATTGTATATCATCGTTGTATTTGTTATATTGTTCAATCAGGAGAATATGTGTTTGGTTCATTTATTGGTGAAACTGTTCCTTATGCTGAAGAAAAAATGTCTAATGCAATAGAAAATGATTGGAAACATTTTATTTTTACTTTAAATAACCCACAACATCAAATCATTAAAATTGAACCTCAATACCATGAAGACTTTACCTCATTATTTGTGTATGGAACTTTAAATAAAAGAAATGTTATTTCTACTCCAAATGCATTTTTTATTAATCCAGGAAATAATTGTTATATAACAAAGAACATTTTTGATTATTATATTCAACCTGAACATCTAACCAATGAAATTTTTGTTGGGTGTTGTCAACCAAAAAGATTTACAGCTGATCGACTTGTTGTAGTTGAGATGATTGAAAAAGAATAAATAACTCTTGATTCTTTAGTTTAAATTAAAGAAGGTTTAATTTAAATATCACAGTAAAGAATGCAATAATAGTCATTAAAGTTAATCCAACTCCTAGTGTTATTAAAATAATATCACTAAAAGTTCTTGGTTGGTAAAATGATAATTTGATTTGATTCCAATTAGATTCAGTCCAAGCATCTCCAGAAGACCCAATAACCTTATTTTTTGATATATCAATGTCTGATCCGTAACTACCTAAATAAGTAACTGTTCCATTTTTAACTGAAGTATCACAGTTTTCTTTACATATTCCCATTGTAACAATTCTGTTTAAATAATCATGAATTGCTTTACTTCTTGGTGTTATTCTTGTTTCTCTATATATTGAAGAATATGAATTAGAACCTCCTTGAATGATGCCAATAGTTTCATTAAAATAATCACAACTTAAGTCATAAGCTAAACAATGATATAAACGATGATACTTTTCACAGTCATATTGAATCCCTAATTCTGTCTGAAGAGTTTCGATATCACTTCTATTAAAAATAATTTGAAGAATTACTTGAGTAATACTTTCAATATTATCACATAACTCAGTGATATATGGAAGGTAGTCTTGATGCGTACCAATATTTCCTTTATATAACTCTTCATGATCACTAACATACATTTTAATACCATTTTTAAACGAGTTTAAAGCACAATGAGGATATTCATTTGTTTTATTGATTATTCTCTTGTGAATGTCTTGAGGTACTTGATCTTTACTATAAACAAATAACCTTCCTTCAGTCATACCAAGTGGACCAAAATGAATAATATGAGAATAACTATCATTACTTGAAGCAAATCTTTTTGATCCCATATTACCAAATGTCTCTCCTTCAAAAAATCCAAAGTCTATTCCTTTCTTTGCTCCTTTCATTAATGGTCTCAATGTCTCTAATACTGAAAGAAGTGTAACTTCTCCTGAAACAATTTGTTCATGGGCTGGTGTTGCATCCCTAAAAATACTAACACCATCAAGTTGTGCAGATAATAGTATTGATTCAGAGAGATGATTTTCTATAAGTCGACCAACTAATGATTGACCACCAATTGGCTGGCACATTCCTCTTCTCAAACATACTTCTGAATCACCATCCGCAAACATTTCATCTTCAATTTGTAAATACCCATTATTTTGAGTAAAATATACGACACTTGTTTGAGTAAACATTATAGGATAACTGTATTTCTTCCACGCAATTTCTGATGCATTTGGATTAAAGGAAGATCTATAGTCTTGTGAAACGTAATGAGTGGAATTAGAATCATAAAATACTACTCCTTGAATTTTTAATTGTTCAAATAAATTTAAGTGAACATTATCAAGGAAATGGTCTGGGACAACTAAAATGCCGTTATGGTCGTTTGAATTTTTCCATCCTTGAATTTCTTCTTCTGTTGTTAGATGAATAACTTTTCCATTAATTACTTTTTTTCTTCCATACGAACCAATCATTTTGTCATTATTTAATAACAAGTAGGCAGTCGTACTATCAACAACATTATTTAATTTATCTTTGACTACATCAAGCTTATTTTTTTTAAGGTCAATCTTTTCACTGTAACAATAAAAGAGAAAGAATAAGAACAACAATTCTATCATTTACTTTTTTTAAGTTTTTTAATATTTTTTTTTTGTTTTCAAAAACTTTTTTCATTTAATAAATCAAAAGTGAAATTGAATTGATGAAAATATGATGTAACAAGTACTTGAATGGGTAATAAAAGAATTTAACGAATTGAAAGAAAATATGTCTGGTGAATATACAAGAAATGCAATTGGTTTATTTATTAATATGAAATTAATGGTAATCAAATGAAGTCATTAAATGTAAAGAGAAATTCATTAATCCATGTAGTAAAGATGCAAGAATGAGTAACTATGATAGGAAGTATTAAATCCAAAATACTTCATATTGGTATATTAAAATATTACAAATATTGTTATATCACTATTTATTCTATTAATCATATCTTATTATGATGTAATGAAGAAAAGTCAAATATCAAAACATGATTATATGTATAATCAAATCTATAGACATATGTTAATTAATATTAAATGAACATATAATCATTATATGAGCAAGATACTATAAATTAATCAAAATTATTATGATTATTAATGTCATAAGAATCAGATTGAGAATTATAAACATAAGAAAATAAAATAATATAAAAGATAAATAAAAAGTTAAAATAAATAAAGAAGAAGGAATTAGAGAGTTAAAAGAAATATAAAAAAATATACAAAATGGAGAATATCTAATAGAAATAAAAGAAAAAAGATATTGTATATAGAAAAATTCATAACTGAAATGGAATTTACAAAGAAATAAAAAAGTTCACAAAGAATATATTTAAATGATAAATGTTCAAAACAATTTAATATTAGTAAGAGATATTCATATTAAATCATTAATTTAAATCATAGAATACAAAAAGAAGAATGATAATACATGACTTATATAATAAAATAAGAAATCATCATAAATATTTAAAAGATAAAGAAATAAAGAATAAAATAGAAATAGGTGTTAAAGAATTAAATAAATAATTAAAAAGTAATAGAAAAATATCACATCAGAAAATAAAATAAGAATAAATAATCAAACAGTCTCAATAATTTTTATATAAATTGAAGAAATGAAGAAAGAATAAAATCAAATATTGAAAGAACTTGTATTAAACCAATAAAAGTATAAACAGATATAGAAT